GACCGCTCATTATTTATTGTACAGGGGGGGATTGAGGAGAAACTGGGGGGACCTTCAAATTTTTCAAAACCTGAAAAGGGGGGCTTTGAAAAAATACAGAGAGACGAAAGAAGGGGGGCTTTGAAAATATTTACCAGTTTGAAAAAACAGTAGTTTTAAAAATGTATCACAAAACAACTTAACAACAAATAACAATATTTATAGACTTTAATATTCATAAATGGAAGTCAAATAAAAAGTCTCTCATGTTCATGTAAATAGACAATTCCCATTATAGACTAATTTTAGAACTAGGCAAAGAGATGCAAATCAAGGCCGGATTTTGGTGAAAATAGTGGGGGAGGTGGACAAAAATTTTAGGAGAGGTGCAGCGGTCTAGCTCACAACTCCCATGGAAAGTTAGGGCTTATTGTAGAACAGGCCAATATCAACGAGATGAGGTATGCATGTAAAAATCAATAAAATTTACAGGATTCCCAACCATTTCCCTATGGTTTGTGCTTCGTACATTTCTTAAATTTTTTTCTATCGAGTTTAATATAAAAGCAAGCAGACACAGCAAGCTAGAATCTAGAAATATGCAAATAACTGTATAAAATCTTACCGGTGAATAAAAATATATTCTTCTCGTTTTTGTTTGGACTTTGGAGAATTCTCACACATACGAGCGGCGTAAAAATGCAGTATCCGTTGTAAATCAAGCAAATTGGAAGTAAAATATCACGATTTTCAGTGAGATTTTCTTCTCAAAAACAAATTTCTTAGGCTCAAACCAGGGGGGTGAAGTACATCGTCGAAAGGTTAGGATCGCGGTTGGGACAGTGGTAGTTGCCATGAATTTAGGGACCAGTAGTCATGGCAATGGCGTCAGATCCGCCATGTTTTTGGCGACACTTTTTTATCCCGAGCAGGTCCTCCAGTAATATAGTATAGCTCACTGAAGGCACAGATGAGGTAAGTACAGATGTGAATCTCCTGTGAAATTGCCATCCTGGCTAGTACAGCCGGAAGTTTTTATCAGGATTTGGTAGGTACAAAGTGCCGGTTGTACTAGCCAGGATGGCGCATTGAACTATAAATAAACTGGAAGGCTAAAGCCCGTTCTCCACTAGGCGAATTTATTCGCGCGAACAGATAAAAAGTAGGAAGCGATCCTACTTTTTCGCCGCGAATTTTTTCGCCGACCAATCACGTTGCCGGATTTCGGTTTTCGCTTCGCGTCGCGCGAACAAATTCGCCTAGTGGAGAACGGGCTTAACTCAGGGGGGGAAATTGAAGCCAGTGCATTTTAGTTTTTCTGAGTTATGAGCAGAAATACTCAACACTGAACGTTGGGCTATATATCAAATTGAAGCTATTGAAAAACGCTATTTGGTGTAGAAATTTCAAGACTTTAGCTAAAAGGGAAATATTAAAAAATTACAAACATAATTACCGATAATTTGCCGTTTTGCAGTTGTTTTTGTATTTTTTAAATATTTTTCTTTTCGCTGAAGTCTTGAAATTTCCACACCGGATAGCAATTTTCAATAGCTTCAATTTGATATATAGCCCGACGTTTGGGGTCAAGTATTTCTGCTCATAACTCAGAAAAACTATTTTGGCTTCATCAAATCATAGGCCTTCATCATAGCAGTTAGCCTTCCAGTTTATTTATAGTTCAATGGGATGGCGTGATTGATGACGAATCGCTTGTAAAAACGCAATCTCGTACCCAGAGTATGCCCGTTCGCAGGTTAGGTGCTGGGCATGACTCTGGAGAAACGGAATACCGGATATCCAATTTTGGATATCCGGTTAGTTGTGCGCATGCTCATGCTCAAACCGCAACACTGAATTCGCGCGGGCGTCATTAGTTTCAATTAGAAATAAAATTGTAGAATTTGTCGAAAATTTGATACTTTTTACATTGAAATCAATTGAAAAAGATTTATTTTCTTGTACTAAAAGTTACAGATTAAATATATATGCGGTGTATATAAACTAAGAATTTTTATGGATTTTATACGGTCAAGAAATGGTATCGGGAGACTTCGCAAGAAGGCCACTGACAGAGGTTTAGAGGATCTAGATTTATACTACATACTATTTAGTATTTAATAGATAGTTTTTATAATATTCAAATATCTAGAATGCTTGATGTGCCACTGTGGACCTGTGGCTGGTTAGCCTATTTTGTTTATTACAATTAAATAATATAATTGGTGCCTTGATGTATTGATACTTAAAATGAGTATGATTGTATGAAAATACTTCCCTCTGTTTAATTAACTCTGTATCACTCCTTTGATTTAACATTGTGCATTGCATTCATACAAACAGTTCCATGGTTATATGTATTTAATTGAGTCATAAAAACTTATGTTCACAATTATTGATGCTTGAAAATAAATTAAATGGAAAAAAAATAATTAAATGGAATTATATGACACAGTGTTTGAACTTTGAAGTGTTTTTGCTAATATTATCATGTAAACTATTGGGTTTAACAATTAACACAGGACAATGTCATCAGGTTTGGTGTCTGTCTGAAAGGTGGCAGGCAAGGCAGGGTGTTGCTAAAAATAAAATTGCCTATCCAAATACTGCGGGCACTGATTGGGAAATCTGCCATTATTGGCGTTATGGGGTAAGTTACATTACCCTGACCTCCTGACATTGCTGCATATCCCTGGGAGATGAATAACTTTCATGTGCTGATGTATGCCAGCAACAGGCGTATAGCCAAGTCAAGGTAACTAGTTACTATTCCCATTGATTATGTACTGTACGTTAACTATATAATGTTGCAGGTGGGATGTAAGATGCATGTGGGATGACCTGCTGCCACTATGGCATTGTTGTAGCTAGTGGTGTAGTGGAGGGGGTGGGGGTGTCTGAGCCCTCCCCCCTATAATTTTTTACATAATCTTAAATGAGAATGCTCTAAAGAATTGCATCTACAAAAAGTGGTACAGAAACCTTGAATTAATTACATACCCTTTTGAGACGCTCAGGATATTTTATATTACTAACGGCCATTGTTTTTAATAAGTCCCATGTCACAATTGTTAGAAAAAAAACACGATATGATAATATCCAAAATATGATATTGCAAACACCCCCCCCCCCCGAAAGTTCAGGACACTTTTGGAGAACAGGGACGAAAGTGTGGGTGACACCCCCTGTCTCTATCTCATCGGGTATACCCATACAATTTAGTCGGGCAAATTTTGAAAATATTTGAGTGTCTCAGATCATATGCTCAGATTGAAATAGTGGTAGGAAAAAGTGGTAGTGAAAAATGCTCCGCTCACCAACAATTTTGAAAAGAAATATTAATTAACGAATTAACGACTGGTCAAATGTTCGTTCCTCAGGAACGACATCGGAAACGCCCTTTTGGTCAGGCAAAACAAGTTACCCCCAGCTGTAATACAGAAGTTTCGCCCCTGTTGGAGAGCCCCCCTTGTTAACATTCCAGGACTACACCACTGGTCGTAGCCATACCGGTATTGTTAGCATATATAATTTCAGCACATCAAAATTGTATGCTCTTACTGCAGTAGCAGCCACTTGGTGGGAATGCTGAATTTAGGTTGCCACAACATGAACACCTTATGGTGCTCTAAATCTCAGTTCTTTAAATGTGGCCTCAAAATTCTGGCAATTTACAGCTTATTTTATTCCCAACCTATGCTTCCATGGATGACCGATGTTATACCATCCAAAGGTTTTCAGAAATGGGAGAGTGGTTTGCACCCTACACTGCTGTCCTGTTTATTTTCTGTTAAGCCCCAAGCTGGCCAAGCAGCTTATTTATTTCAGGCATGGAGTCTAGAAACTATAGCTTGTAATATCAATTTGAGAGGATGTGGAGGGCTTAAATTAACAGTAGATTTGTTATAAAATTATTACTTTCACGAATATTTCACTACTATAGTATGGCCTTGATGTATTTGTAACAGATCCATGGCTCACTGAATTTAATACTTTAATATATTTATACAGTTATATGAATATTATGGTATACTCAAAAAGAGTCTTATATCCACACACAAATTCTATGCTCGTATGTCCAAACGGCAAACACAGGTCCAGAACGACAAGCTAAAATCCCAACACTGGCGATCACTAGCGCAATTGAATTGAAGTAAATATTTTATTACATCTGTTTCGGGAATTCAGCCATGTCAGTCAGCTTTCATATCGGTAAACAAGAAAAAGTATTTGCCATAATACAAGATACAAAAGTGTACAGATCGTAGGTAAATCCTCAATCAGAATTAATGTAACATTTAACTTGTATTTGAAATCTTGCAAATAAATGTAATTTCGACTTTGTTTACGTCGTATTCGGCAATTTCCACGTGTAATTCCTGCACTTGAACACCAATTTCCGGTATCGGTGTCATTGATCTCACGCCAGCCAATGGAATTGATAATTTCATTCCGTTTCTCCAGAGTCATGCCCAGCACCTAACCTGCGAACGGGCATACTCTGGGTACGAGATTGGTAAAAACGCGGACAAATATTTGCTCGAGTTACGCTTCTGGTATAACTTCATATTCTGTGGTCACAATCACTGAAGGTCACAATTCACAAAACACAAATACAGAAATACTTCCTCATTCTTCGCCTTCCCAACCCAGCAATGCATATTGAGGGAGTTTACATGCAAAGGAGTGAAGGACTAGAGATTTCAAGCTATATTTAAGGTATTTTTCCATTTTTATCTCATTCCAATTATATTTACTTTATTTTCTGTTTATTATTAAAAATATTATATATGCGAGCTAGATATTTGTATTAAATTGTATTATATCTATATCGTGTTTATATTTATGGAATTTATATTTCTAGCAGCAGAATGAGATTAAATAGTCTGAGATAGTATGTGTCTGGTATCTATGTGTTTATATATACTTTTACATATAAAGTATAATTTATTAGTGACACAGGCAATGACTATATAGTAGTCTTGCACTCTTGCAGATGGCTGTTATGCTCTTATCAATATAAATCCTGTGGGGGGGGGGGGATGCGGGCATAGGGTGGGGATTTCACAAAAAGTTGAAATTTTGGGTAAAATATCCTTGGATGGGAAGACCAATATCAATCAAATATATCAAAAATTCCCCACCTGGGGAATAAACATTCTCCTTACTGAAAAACAATTGATACAATATATTATAGCCCAGACAACTATTTATTGGGTGTATGCTTCACTGCTACTTGTAGGATCTTCAGAAATGTCAGTCTAATCTCCCACCCCCAGGATAACATTGATGTTCAAATACTTGACGAAGGAAGTGCTCGAGTCAAATCCCCAGCCTTATTTTGCCTGCATCCCCCACCCCTGCAGGATTTTACATTAATAGGTGGATTAGGCTGCTACTCTGTTAGTATCATGAAAACATTTTCTGCATGTTCAGTATTAATTGTTCCTCTTTTAATTTCTTAACACACAAAAAGAATAAAGGGAACATAGTTGAATTTCTTGGTTCTAATAAAACTTAACCTTATGCATGAGTCAATTCCAGGAGTAACCATCCCCCCCCCCGGGAACACACCTGGGCATTTGATTTGATTGGTTATGATAGTGTAAATGCCCGGGTGCCGGGACACAACTTGAAGACTAATGCACGGCCCCTGGGCAAGCTGAGAGTGGAAAATGCCCCACCCCGGGGACGATTTTACAGTCGATTTCACGAAACTTTGACCACAAATGTTCGGAACTTCGTTGCAAAGTTCGGAAGCTCATATTGGAATTCACAAGCCAATTTGTAAACAAAGTCCCTGATTGGTCCATGAAGTAAAAGAAGCCAATCAAATGCGTAGCTTACGAACTGGTTTGTGAATCTCATTATGAACGTTTGAACTTCGCAACAATCTTGTGAACTTCGCAACGAAGTGGTCAAAGTTTTGTGAAATCGACTGTAAACGTTAATGGCAATATAATCATAGTCATTTAATAACATTATGGTATTAAACTGTTATGGAATATTATAAAACATAAACCTTTAATAGTTCACTTATTCTTACAATAAATTTCACGCCACCTTGACCACGAGGGCGCAATATACGATCAGCGCGTCCACATGCGTGCCTGAAACTAGGTTTGCTGCCTTAAAATTTATGGGTGGGATTCTGGGCAACCATTTGTCAAATCCCCGGGGTCCTCCAATACCCGGCCCCCATGCACATATATGAAAGGCAAATTCCCGACCCCTGTGAACTGTCTATCGGGCAAATTCCCGGGGGTGTCCCGGGGGGGATGGTTACTCCAGGAATTGACTCATGCATTATTCTTAACCTGGTAAATATATCCAGCAAAAGTTTAGTGGATTCAAAATAAAATTTTAGTGGATTATTTTGATATTTTGCCAGACACTGGATATGGTATCTGGATCCAGCGCAAATGTTAGAAAATCTCATGAGCAAAAAATTTCCCAATACCCAAGAGCACAAAAATAGACACGTGCATGTCAAAAACTAGGAGTACACCGGAACGAAAAAAGTTACGTCCGGGACTGATTTATTAAGCCATATATATAGTCATACAGTATGTTACTTTGTCTGCTGCCAGATAGGCATGCAGACACTTCAAGTCATCAATGCAGACACTTCAAGTCATCAAGGAGAGAGCTCGGTTCCGGCCATGATGGTTGGAACCAGAACTCTGGAAAATCGTGAAAATTAGAGATTTGAGGACAGATTAAAATGCAAACATTGTTATAAAGTACACCCTAGGTGCTCAGTGCTCTGAAATTTCTGCCTAATAAAATATCGAGTGTAACGTTGACCAACTCTGCAGCCTGGTTGTCACAGGGAAATTCAGGAAACCGAGTGAGGGAAACTTTGGCAGTTGACAGTCCACATAACATTAAGTAAACATATTGTTTCCTGAAAGTCCCAGTCAATAATTATTTTATTATGTAAGTGTTAAAGAAAAAAATCCAATTTAACTGGAAGTGTTTATATGGGTATTTTTCATCCCGGCTAGGCGGGATGAAGTGTTTTATATGGGAATTTTTCATCTCGCTTAGGCGGGATCCCGGCATCTGTTGCCGATATCCCGTCTAGGCGGGATAAGTGACAGGATCATATAAACACTTTGCGTTGCTTATATATACATAATAAAACCGCATAATACTACTGCTGCTGTAGTACTCTTCAATATCTTGTTGTCATGCAGACCATGCACATGTCTCATGATCATGCAGTTGTCATAATTTTTTATTGTCATATACAACAGATCCTCTGGTGTGTGTTATTATTTTCTGGCTTTACTGTTTTACCAACAAGGAGTTATGCTAAATAACATTCATAGTGGCATTAATATTTATGAAAGATTACTACATGAACTCAAATAAGGCATGATAAGGCAACCAATGTGGATATAGAAATCAATTAGCCAAAGGTGACTTTAACAATACCTAAAACCCATGATTAATTAATCTCTTTCTCGTCAAGCCGGTTTCGCATTACATTACGACTCAATTTTTCAAAAATAAATATCTCGGCGAGTATTTACCCCCCTTTTAAATAAATGCCACCATTGAAATCCTCACAAAATAACCTTTCGAACGGGGGGTCAAGTGCCATCAAAACATTACACAAACTGAAACAATCATATACCGTCGTTAACGCCTAAGCGTGTACACGTCATCACAAAACATGTTCTAATTAGATTCAAAGAAGACAAGTTTACATCTCAAACTTCAGGGTTTATAACCAAATCTCGTACAGATTTGATACCAGTACTGTATTAGATGAAAAGTGTGTTTACTCACAACAATTTTCGAGCTTTTATCAAGGACAGCACTAGGCCAAGGCTTCAGAGGTTTTTTAGCGCAATTTGCAAACATTTTCAAAGCGAACTCTGACATAAAACCTTTTTTGGTATGGCAATTTTTTATGTAAACATGTACGTAAATAAATGCACTTAAATGGCTTCCTAATTACTAGCAGCCACTGGGCGTACGTTGCATTAATATGACGGAAAGGAGAACTATTGAGAATTTTTTAAGCGAAATCGACGAAGATCTAGTCCAATATGCGAAACAATTACGGAAATATGGATTTACGTCGAACAACAGTATGAAGCATTGGGTAGAAGCGGACTTTCAATTAATCAATATGCAAGTGCCAGAGGGTCACAAGAGAATGATTATGGAAGCCGTTTCGAGAATGTCAAGGACAAGCCCTCAATCAAATAAAACCAAACGGAAAAATACACCAACTGTAGGAGAAAGTCCAGAATCAAAGTCCCACTGTGCTGAGTCTAGTAAGGCACGCAGTGTACGTAGTCCAAGACCAAGAAATAGAAGAACTGACGGCTTTCCCAGGCGCAGACTTAACCAAGAAATGATCCGTTTCAGTATGCTAGAGGAAGTTACTGATTCTGAGAATGAGGACAATATCAGGGACGAACCGGACGATACATTTGCAAAGCCAGTTGATCGCCCCAAAACAGGCAAGTCTGTGATCTCGCCAGTGGAGCGGTACATAAAGTCCAAGGAAGCTGAAATTCGCGTTACAAGTATTGAAATCGAGGAAAAAAGGCAAGAGCTTGAACATACAATAAAGCAAATTGAAAATGCCTCTTTACTGATGGGAAAAACGGGACAAAAATGTTCACATTGTCATCAAAGAAACCACACTGTAAGATCATGCAAAGAAAATAAATGCGAATCTTCATTATTATGTGGCTTGCTTTCGAAACATCCTGACGAGAAAAAACAATTTGATGAAAAAAAACGCGCTGTTGCTGCCAGAGAAACATCTCTCAAGAAACTACAACAAGAACTAACATCCCGCCAAAATTCGTTTTACCGTGTGAACAATTCCGTTAACATGAACATTGAAGATATGTTAATTCAAGAATATCCCGAAGATTATGTGATAGACGGTACTCGCAACTGGTTAAAACTCCAGAAAGACGTCGCTCTTGTTAAAAAGAACATCCGAACTAGCAGTGATATAACGCGAAGTAAGATTAGAAGCATACTAAGCACCAATGCTGGGCTCAGCTTACCACCGAGAATGGACAGCGAATTTGATAATAAACCACAAAAAACAGCAATGCAATGTAAACTGGAGTCGTACGGGGTGAATTTTCCAATTAGATCGAAGTCCAAGACGAAAAAATGCGAGTCGGTCGACATGGCTTTTTCCACATATTTGCAACCTAACAGCGAAGATGAAGAGATCGAACAGCTAAGAATGGCGACAAAGCTTTCTTTGGTTACTAAAGAGCCGAGTATGTTAGACATTGCGGTCGACGATGTTATGAATACTGGTGAGACACAGGGTGAGGCATATGATCATGGCATGAGTGTTGAAAAGACAAACGAAGACTCGAACGAAGAAGCGGCAAACATTCTTTTAGGCATGAGCCGTGGTCGTGGTAATATGGAAAATAACGATCTGGTATGACTTTTACTGTATTTTTAATTTAATTTGGCATTTAGCTATGTTAAGTTTTGTTTTATAGTTTTGGTTTTGTAGTTGATCAGGTGAACAGAAGCAAACTTTTCATGTCACTCTTGAGTACGTTAATACTGTTTTTAGACTACTGTATCAGTCAATGACAATCTATCTCGTTTGAGAAAGTGAACATATAAAGTCATATAAACATAGTCACATACATATAACGTTGAGTTTTAATACTGTAAGTACTATTAAAATTGGACATTAGGTAATTAATACTTTGTCTTTGTACTTATGAATTCGATTATTTAATTACATGTTAAAATAACGAGTATGACGATAATATCCATATGTGTCTGCAGCAGTGATATCCCCAACCGCACACCAAATTGCGAACTCAAGGTTTTGAAAGACTATGTCTTGATACGTGTACTTAAGAAGATATTTCAACTTTGAAAAAACTTCTTCGACTGGATTGAAGTCTGGTGAGTAAACGGGCAAAAACAATAGTTCAACTCCGATTTCAGACAATGTTTCTCTAAGAAATCTTTCCCCTTCTCCATGATGTGTTGGACAATTATCTATAACAATTACATCACCAACTTCTATAACTGGGCGTTCTGTTTGAGGATCTATTGTCCGCAATGCATCCGTAAAAAACCGTAGAAATTCCAGTGTATCGCAAGCGCCATCAATTACATTTGCGTACTTCAGTCCATCAATTCCCACCAAAAAATTGAGAGTTTTGTTCGCTGTCGAATTGTATCGACGAATGTCAAGACATGGTTTGCCCACTTCTGAATAACCGTAATTCCTATGTCCACTATTTGGAAGTTGAAAGCCTGATTCATCGAAGAATTTAATGGCAGCTGGATTTTTGGTAGAAATATAGTCGAGATATATTTGAGTATAAATAAGATTTTCATTTGTAAATCGTTGATCAACACATTTTCCGAGGCGTTTACGAGAATATTTAAGTCCACTTGGCAAATTGCATCGTACATTTCGCGAAATTGTGTTGAGTGAAATTTGACCGCAATTGCCATACTCATTTAATTGTTCCTGCATCTCTCTTAAGGACGTTGAACCCTTATTAGCAACTATCGTTTCCAACAGAAGCGAGTCATTGTATGAAAGTTTGCTTTCAGTTCTAATATGGTCTCTTGGTAGAGACGTCGTTTGACCTGTGTCACGATACCGCTTTATAATTTTTGAGACAGTTGACGGTTGAATCCTAAGTCTTGAACTAATTTCCCGGTAAGAGTTATTGTTATGTGACAGTTCAATGACTTGATGTCGATAATCTTCGGACAAGGAAACTCCAACTTTATAATTTCTCCCAAATTTATTGATAGAATACATTGTTTAATACAGTATAATATTTTTGAAACCGTTATGTTTGCGCAGGAAACTGTTACGTTTTGAACCGATTTTTTGAACTTTGAATCTAATTAGAACATGTTTTGCGATGACGTGTACACGCTTAGACGTTAACGACGGTATCGTTAATTTGAATTTGAAAGGCTATACTTTTTTATACACACTGTATATTCCTATACTATTAAAAGGTAAAATTTTAATTCAATTACTTTGATATTCGTTGTTCTCTCATAGCCCAACGTCTGAAGCATTGATCTCTGCATTGTTGAATCATATACGACTCTCCTTTGACAAACAGAGCAAAGCGATCTTTCTACCAAGCCAACTAAGCAATCACGGATGCATTGCGTTCCACATACACGATGCACAAACTTTCGGCCTTTGCCCTTTGGCTTCAGTGAGAATTCATTTGTTGTTTCTACTAAAAAGATAAATGTTAAAATAACTTTAGCTCTAAACACTCTGAATACTTTATTGAAAGACTTCTATTGATTTAAATTAATAAGAAAATCATCACGTCCAAAGGACACGCATTGACGAATTAACGAATATCAAAATCAAGGCCATGCACTCAGCGACTTGCGACCATGAACTTCGTCAAGTAGTTTCAACTTTCAACACTTTTTTACTCGCCAACAAAGCACGAACATATTACACAAAGTAGGAATTATAGAATATACAAACCTTAGTTCAATCTTTAAGCTTCTTTTGATCTTGGGACTTCAACATTTCGCGTTTAATTTTGCTTGTAAAATTCAGCCATGATGACTTGGGCCATTTGCACGCGGTTGAGAATTTAATCTTGTTCTCACTAAAACGATAAATTTTAATACAAATTTAGCTTTAAAACACCTGGAATACCTTAGTAAAACGCTTCAATACAGTTTGAGAAACTAAAAAGAGCAAAAAACGTCGAAAAGCAAGGCTAAATTCAAGAATATGCCAGGCGAGTCACTGAGTCAGACAACAAGGCTCGAAGCGGTTTGCAATTGTATGCCAACTTTGACAACAAGTTTTAAACGCTTTTCGTCGTTAAAATGTGAACATTTTACATGAAGTCGATAGTACATACATTTGAGTTTCTCTTGGGATTGAAAATTCAGTATTTCTTCTTTAATTTTGCTTTAAAATTCGGGCAAGAAATCAAGTTTACTTCGCTAACTTCGACGCCCAAAACGAAATGCCTCGTGAAAACTCAAATTTTGCAGCATGGTTAAAATGGTCACATGACTGCAAATGCGCCATTCCTATTGGACGAAACGGGATTCTATGTAAATTAGCTGAATTCCAATGAATTAATTTCACATTATAATCAACACAATCACGCAATTGGCTGAAAATACTCAATGCCTATTGGACAATTTCGAATTCCCAAAGGAGAATACCATTGAACTAAAATGTATTTTAACAAAACAAAAATCCAATATGGCGGCGAAAATTATCTTGTGTAAATATAAACAAACGTGGACGAATTTAACTAAATTTTGGCACAAGAATGAGTTTTAAATATATATATAGTATGGCAAAAAGATAAATAAAATAATAAATAATATAGTTAAATATATAGTATGGCAAAAACTCCAACAAGAGCCTGTGGAAAATACCTGGAAGCAGTTTTAAGAAATAATCTCGGTGGGATGCAGCGAAACGTGACTATGTAAATCTGTATTAAATGCAATTTGTTAATGAATTTATATAAAGATTTTCGTACTCTAAAATATGTTGTTTTAGTTTGAATCATGAGTTCTAGTTTAACTTATGTGCCTTTATTTGTTTATGATCATTTCCCAAGTTTGTTTATGCCAAATTGTTTACAAAAGAATTAAAAACTCTTGACAAAATGCAGTTGAATTTTAAAGAAAGCAATTTTAATATTCTCTATAATAATAGTATAATAATATGATGTTTGTGATGTTACTCTTAGTGTATATCCACACCAGGCAGGCTTGAAAAATATGCCTGGCCACGATGGGAATCGAACCTAGGACCTACGAGTATTCCAAAGGTCGTAGGTTCGATTCCCACTGTGGCCAGGTATATTTTTCAAGCTTGCCCGGTGTGAATATACACTCAGAATAACATCACAAACATCATATTCACCTGAGTACATAACACTAACACAGAAAAAAATCAATGTAATAATATATAATAATAATATTCCCTAATATATATATATATATATATATATATATATATATATATATATATATATATATATATATATATATATATATATATATATATATATATATATATATATATATGCTGTTGAGGCGACCAGTAAGAGACATGTTTTTCGAAGTTGTATCTGGTCTAGTTAAAATATTTAAAAAAGTTCTAAGTTAAAAATATGTACTGAATTTTCGGCTGCTTACTGCAACCTTCTTCAGAGTTCTATACTGAGGCAGAGCTAACAGAACATTATATAGTGTCATTATCGTTGCATGACTGCACTAATGGCATGTAAATTGATGGAAATAATTTATGTTCATTTGTTGATCTTTTGTCCAACACTGAGTGCAGAGATTCAAGGAAGAGCCTCTTGTGTGTATTTTGCACTCTCTTCTCTATGATCTTAGCATCTCTCAAGGTTGCAGTTAGCAGCCGAAAATTCAGTACATATTTTTAACTTAGAACTTTTTTAAATATTTTAACTAGACCAGATACAACTTCGATATACATATATATATATATACATATATATATATATATATATATATATATATATATATATATATATATATATATATATATATATATATATATATATATATATATATATATATATATATTTATTAATACTTAAAATGTTTTTGTCAGCTTGAACGGAAAGAAATGAAGGAGGATAACACTTTGCTACATTTGGAATCGAGACACAAGTCGCGACAAATATTCGCTGAAGAGGCTGATCAAAGACATCGCGAAGCTTGTAACAAATTAAGAATGTTGCAAGAACAGACTGCAAAGGTATGTTATGCACATATTTTCGTTCGTGCAATGGACCATTTGCATTATAGACTAAATTTTGATTTAGACAAAAATTTCATCACAGCTTGAAAAAGCATCACAAAATTAGTAATATTCCAAAGTTTCGTTGCGAAATGTTGTAAAATGCGGATAATATAGCCATGCGAAGTTTGCCGTTTTTCAGTCATTTTGTATTACGCATGGGAAATTGACAGCCCAATCGAGTGTTGGGGCATCAATTTCCCGTTTGTAATACAAAATGACTGAAAATTGCAAATTTCGCAAGGCTATATTATTATATCCGCATTTTACAACATTTCGCAACGAAACTTTGGAATATTACTAATTTTGTGATGTATGCTCTTTCAAGCTGTGATGAAATTTTTGTCTAGATCAAAATTTAGTCTATAATGCAAATGGTCCATTGGCCAATACGAGAACTATATAGTGGCTACCACGATTTTGCATTATTTTAAGGCCGATTTAATACGTACACTACACAACTTTTGCCTAAAACTGTCGCATGCAACCTGCTTACAACTTGAGTAGTACTGTGTAATTCGAGCACACAACTCGCTTACATTGTCGTTATGTGCAAATCATGAAAGCATTCTTTCATTTGCTTTTTTCTCAAACTCAATAATTGAACAGCAAAACACATTAGAAAAGCACACTTTTTGGTATTTTATATCAGTGATTTTCTATGCCGGTAACTATAAACTAAATCCATTCATTCTTATATTGAATGATTTATTGACGGGTAAAATACTCGAAACAGAATTTAATGCGCCATAAGTTATCATGTGATCATAATCAGCCAATTAAATAGAGAATAATACATGGGTGCGCGGAAATACCAGATTTGTTTCGAGTGTTGAACATATAAAGGACAGTTTTTGAAAAGCGATAATTTTTACAGAAAAGCGATAATTGAAAAGCGATAATTTTCACATGTGAGGATTATCATAAATATTAAATAATCTCACATGTGAGATTATCACTTTTATCAGTGCTCGAAATCTCTATAAAGCACTATACTTTATATAATAAATGACAATAATTTAATAAGGTGACGATAATTTAATAAGACAAGAGGAGAATCTTTTGTATGTTACGTAAAACGCGCTCACTACTAATGAATATTCTTTTACACTTGGTTATGACTATATTCAATTTTTTTAAATATTTTATACGTTTCTCAAGCGGCAAATAAACTTAAAAAGGATGGTTTGTGCTTTATCTGTAAAATAATACTAAAGATGAAGAGATGTTATATATAGATGGTACCCCAAAGAAAAAACGATGTCTGAAGTTCAATAAGTTTTGCTTATATTGCTGTGTAAATATGGCGTCAATTTTATAGCATGCATCAATGATTATTGACTAATTAGCCTTTCTTACGCCGCCATTTTTGGGTGGCATTTCAGCTGAAGTCTGTGCGATAAGTCCACATAATTATAATTTTTTGGACGAATGATGGTAAATTTGCTTTGTAAATGGTTAGTTTATTTTGAAGAATTGCTTTTCACATTGTTTTAATTGTCTGCATTGGATAATGAAAATTTGATGCCACCCAAAAATGGCGGATATTCGTCATCGTGAGAAAGGTTGATTGTATTTAAAATTATTAGGCAACTTTGATTAAAAAATTTACCCCTAAGGAACTCAGATACGACAAAAATATAATGCTAGCATGAAAGTAAATATGGAGCCACCAAATTTATATATTTCAAAAAAGTGAATTTTTTGAAGATACAATGTATAAGACCACCTTAATTAACCTCTCTAATATAAACTTAATATGGAGTACGCCTAAGCGTACCTATTTTTAAATGAATGTTAATATACCCGCAACACCTGTCAACTGTAGGGCCGCTGCCCGCTAAATTAACACAAAAATTAGCAATTCGTATAAATGTTGTGCAATTAGTTTGTTTGTGTTGATTTTTTTCGTTTTATATAAAATTCAAGAAGGTTTACTCCATAACAAGACTATTTAAAAGACGTCGTGGGCATTGTTTGAATGAGAGACTGCTCGACAGGCTAAAAGATTCAGGTATAAAAGATATTAGGTATAAACGATTCAGCTGGCTTTTAGTCCTGATTTAATGTTTATAATATGTCTTCATATACTCGTTTGTTACGACGAGAATATACGGGTAATCTGTCATTAAAGACGACCGATCACTGCATAAGAACTTCATTGTTGCCAGAGTTTACCCCAAAGGATCCCCCCAAACCACAGTTAACAATCTTCGATAATGAACAATTTCTGCTTGAACTTGGGGATGTGCTTTCTTCAAAAGAATGTGCTGAAATAATCAAGAATGCAGATAAGTGTATATTTGAAAATATCAGCGATAAGTATCGATTTGGCAAGCAGCGGGATAGTTCACGATTATTGGCACTGGACAAAACTTTGGCAGAAAATCTTTGGCAGAGTATATACAGTGTGTTATGCAACGAAATCACAGATAAAGGAGTCTCGATGCAGCCACTCGGTTTTGACGTGGCGAGAGGGGTGTGGGATCTACATGGTTTGAACGAGGCAAATAGAATTAACAAATATTCTGGGGAAAGGAAAGGATACTTTGGTCTGCATAAGGATGCCCAATTCTGTCCAAATGGTGACGAACGCTCAATAATGACTTTGCTAATTTATCTTAATGAGGATTTCAAGGGTGGTGAAACATGCTTTTATTTTCCACAAGATTCCACTCTTAGCTCGAAAGGGATGACTATTAAAGAGGAAATTAACTCGCATGGTGGATTAGAAAAAGGGTATGAATGTGTAAAAATTATCCCAAAAGTCGGACATGCAGTTTTGAGCAGCCAGAGCATCTTGCATGAAGCTTTACCAGTTGTCAATGGTACAAAATACATCTTGAAAACAGATGTTGTTGTGAAACGTAGCTCAAAGGAATTTGGATTTGCAGTGGAGGAACGAGAGAAGAAAGATTACATGACATGTTTGAATTACTTCAGACAAGCGCAGCAACAAGAATTACAAGGACATTTTGACGTTGCGAGTGATCTTTATGAAAAAGCATTGTCAATTCGTTATTGTTATCCCAGTTGCATCAACGAAACTCCTAAAGATATCGATACCAGTGGTTACACAAGATTTCCTCCGGAAGTGTGGTATCATGTCTTTGAATTCCTGTCAGGATATGATGTGCAAAACGTCGTGTATGCCTACCCGGAGTTGAATTTGGTTATGGCAACTTTGGAACAAAGACAGAGGAATACTGCCCCTAAGTTATCTAATGTTGGATATTTACCGAAGATCCGATGTCAAAATGGGGTGGTAACCTCATTTGTCTTTCCAGATGCAGAGTTTTTCAAAGAAAACAAGAATGAATGCTGTCGCGTAGCCGCCATGTACTCGTTCTTTCTTCTTGGCCATTCACCACAGGACGATGTCTACACGGTGAGATATAATCCTGATACTCAAGAGGTTTGTGTTGTTGCCTTGGAGACGTTGCTCACTGATGTGTTCTATGGTCGGAGATGTTATGGATCCATTTACAATGTCCGACAACAGGACCCTGAAACAAAAGATCCTAAGAAAGATTTTGAAGCCAGCGTCGATCGGAACTACATGCTCATGAAACATGGAGCAGAATTTACAGGAGTGGAACTACCTGATAGCTTTTATGCAAAGAGTACAGTGTATGTAACATCGTCAGATTGTTATGGTTATACCTATGTTGGTGATGATGATGGTGAGGATAGTGGGGATAGTGGTGATACTGATGATGGTGCCAGGAGAAGAATAGGAGTCTACCATGATAATTGTCTACCAATTTATGGTGAAGTTGACCAAAACTTTCCCATAGATCAAATTATGCAATTCCTGCTCATGTCTGCAGACAACAATGATGCAGGTGTGGATGACGATTGTCAATTCTATGAAGTAGTAAACAACCCAGATCTGGACAGTGCTTCCAAATATTTTGAAGCATTTGAAGAACCTATGGACAGATCGACATCAGCCACACTTGTATCAAAGCTAAGCGCGCCTGTGAGTTTTGAACCTAATGAAATATGCATTTGTTACATGAAGGATCCAAATGATGAATCAGCTGGTAAACTAAAAACGAACTGCTCGACTGAATATTTTAACCACCTTGTGTTTGATTTTCAAGAATCACAACTAAATGTAAAATATTTCAATCGCTGTTCTGAGGGACCAGGTGTGTGTTCTGTGGATGCAGTTTTGGATGACATGACTCACCTTGGCTGTACTGGGGATTTGTATGAGGCTGAAGTCAATATCGAGCCCCTTTTGTCGTCAGATACGTCTTTTAATCATGCTTCCTGTCAGTGTGGACATCCGCGTTTTGAGTTAGAGCAGTTCTCCGACCTTAGACGGTATTCGCATTTAACATCTGTAACAGCATATGCAACAGAAAAAGATGGACAAATGTTTATGTGGACCATCTATGATGGGATTGTTGCTCTTTAATTAACAATATTTACGGAGGATTTTATAATGTATTGTTTACCATCCACGTTTTGAGTTAGAGCAGTTCTTCGACCTTAGACGGTATTTGCATTTAACATGTGTAACAGAATATGCAACAGAAAAAGATGGACAAATGTTTATGTGGACTATCTATGATGGGATTGTTGCTCTTTAACTAAAAATGTTTACGGAGGATATTTTAATGTATTGTTTACCATTTATTGTAAGCAAAGGTCTTGGAGGTCATGTGATTATGTATTTTTTTTCTTAATTAAGTCTCCATTGCCATAGAAAGTTGAGAGTTTAGTGCGGTTTTGTTTTGTGGAAAAAAAACATGTTGGCAAACCTTATGAATTGGGGAGAGGGAGCTTAATAGGGTGGGACTCCAACTCACTGTTTCTTTGTCTTGAAGTGGGTGGGGAGACAGGTTTCAATTTGAAGGGTGAGGGTCTAATATTTTAGGAGGTAGTAGTATGACGTTGCTCTTTTCCATGCACCCAGGTTATAGTCCAGTTAATGACTGACGAGTTGTAGAGAAGACTGATGAGATCAATGGCTACTGCCTATAACCACTATAACTGTGTAACAACAATAACAATCCAGTTGATTAAAAGCGATCGGGTGTTTTATAATTTAGCGGGTTTGCGCGGGTAAATCAAATTATTTTTAAAATTGCACATGGTTAGTCAAACCGGTTTTTTTACCAGAAAAGTTCCGACTTCCGTCTGTTGAAAATTGCATAAGGCGACAAATCTGTGTCGGTTTTTAATAGACTTTTAGTTTACCCCAGAACCAAGAGACTGTCGAAAGCAGAATGGATTCCGTTTCTCTCGAAATTCTTGCTCGAGTAATCTTGTTTCGGCTTCAGGCTGTGTTGCTATTGTTCTTTGACTATCGCATGACGCAGACAAAATCCTTTGTGTACTATAAAACATGAGTTTCATCCTATCTTTAAAACGCCTTCGGCTTCGTTCCATATTTTAAGCTAGTAGTTCTTCCCGTGTGTTCCTGCAAATGATTCCGAACCAAAATTGTGACATTCAGTAATGTTATTTGCATTCAATCTGTGCTTATATCTGCCTGCTGTTCCGCTAAGTATTGGCTTATTGCATTTTTTATCCGTACACCCCCTGTTGAGGACACACAGCATAAATTCTCCTACCCCCCGGATTTCCAAGTAATATTTTGTCAGAAGCCCTGGAAAAATGTGGTTTGTAGAAGGGGGTGCCTGGAATTCCAATTAGTGAGCTTAAGCAAGTGACGTTTTTGACAACACGAACGACATGAGTAACGTCAGAAGACTGGGTCAAGGGCTGTGATTGGTGGAAAACGTCAACTTTACTTCCGGTCGACGTCCGTGTTGTCAAAAACGTCGCTTGCTTAAAGGCGGTTTTCCACTAGGCGAAATTTTTCGACCGAATCGAAATTTCTCTTTGTTTCAGAGCTCTCGAGCAGAACTAATTGTAAAAAGACAAAGAGAAATTTCGTTTCGGTCGAAAAATTCCGCCTCGTGGAATCCGGCCTTAAGCTCACTATTGTGTTTAATCAATGACCTTGGAAATTCTTTTTTTTCCGCATGACTCCGGAATTCCACTGTGAATAAGTTGATTTCCCCTGGAATTTCACTGTCAATAAGTTGATCTCCCCTGGAATTCCACTGTGAATAAGTTGATTTCCCCTGGAATTTCCAGTTCCGGTATCATTATTTTATCCCCTTTCCCGGAATTTCCATGTAAATCTTATTATTTTGACCCTCACCCATTGGAATTCCAGGGTTATTTCGACCCCCACCCACTGGAATTCCAGGTTGGTTTGACCCCCACCCACTGGAATTCCAGGTTGGTTTGACCCCCACCCACTGGAATTCCAGGTTGGTTTGACCCCCACCCACTGGAATTCCAGGGTTAAATATAAAAGGCATCCCCTGGATTTCCAAGGTCCTCAACAGGGGGTGTACGGATAAAAAATGCAATATGCCATTGTGTCTGTCAAAAGAACAATGGCAATGCGTGAATATTTAATGCTGTATTGTAGCTCCAGTTAAACAATCCAGATGATTAAAAGCGATCAGTGGTTGAACGCCCTAATTTAGCGGGTGTTTATAGTTTAGCGGGTTTGCGCGGGTAAATCAAATGATTTTTAAATTGCACGTGGTTAGTCGAGGTTTCATTAAATTTCATCATTTTCATGCGAAGCAGTTGATTTCTAAACGGTTCTTTTCTTTTAAAACATCGATGGAAGGCTACACAAAGCTTCGTATTATTGGCACGGGTTCTTTTGGTACCGTCTGGCTCATTCGCTCGAAAGAAAAGCGCAGAAATTACGTTTTAAAAGAGATTTCATTATCGGTTGTTGAAGAGCGACAACGCAGCTTCGTTCTGAACGAAGTAAAGGTTCTTTCTCAGCTCAGACATATGAACATTATTCGGTATAAAGAAGCGTTTTTAAGCAACGGATTTTTGTGTATCTCTATGGAATATGCCGATGAAGGTCTGTGCTTTCAAGTTTGTACTAGATTTGTACTAAATTTTGTAGTATAAACAGGGACGCCGGAACTGGGGGGGCAGGGGGGGCGGCTGCCCCCCTTGCCTTTTGCTAGGGGGGGCAGGGGGGGCAGAAGTGCCCTTTTAGTTGTAAAATAATACGTGATAAATCACATTTCCAACGATGCTTTTTGTAGGAAAATCACGAGATTCAGGTAATTTATAGTTTATATTTATAAAAATTTTGGGAAATTTTTGGAATTTAGAAAAATATTTTGAAGAAATGGCGAAAATTTAAGATATCCGGAAAAATTTTTGGCTTCATGGAAAATTTTTGTATGTCCGGAAAAAATTTTTGACCCCTAAAATGGCACACTGACCGAAATTTTTTTGGCGACGGTCGCCAAAAAATTTTGAAGTTAAAAAAAAAATTTCAGTTAAGGTGCCCTTGGAGTGCTTCCGCCCCCCTTTGCCCTATTATCGTTCCGGCGTCCCTGAGTATAAAGTACTATTAAAAGTTTGGCTATTGAAATTTGACTGTACATTTAAAACGTGATTCTGTTTACCAAATGCCTTTATAAAGGATGTTTTAACAGTGTTATATACCAAGTAATAACATCGAACCGTATATGATTTATACTAATACCTAGCAAGTCTAATGCCTGTAATATATACAGGATACTAAAAGAACAAGGATGGATATTTAATAAAAACTTTGTCAAAGTGTTCATAACAACAGCGCTTTATTGGACAATCACTGAATAAAACAGCTTGGTTTCTCTTTGATAGGAGATTTGTCAGACAGAATTCTGAAGCAACATGGAGAGATGCTTCCAAAAGAGCAAATCATCGACTGGTTCATTCAATTATGTTTGGCTCTTAAGTATATACACGGAATGAACATCTTACATAGAGGTATACTTGCCATATGAAAACATCCGGCTATTATATTTTGGCCCAAATACCTATAGGAAACTTTTTCCTATTAGGTTTAACCCATGCAATGTGCCCCATTACGCCCCAAGACGTGGACGTTTCACTTGTTTTTTTTCAGGTAGTTGAATCTAATTTAATTTTTCCTCGTTCAGATATCAAGTGCCAAAACATTTTCATATCGAAAGAGAATGTCATAAAACTCGGTGATTTTGGCATTGCGTGTGTTCTCCAGAATACCCT